CAACCGAAACCAGGCAGGCAAGAAGGCAATGGGAAGACATACATACAATGGGGAGACCCTGAAAGAAAAAAACTGCCACCCATGAATCCTCTACCCAGCAAAGCTGTCAATCAAATAAGATGGTGTCATCAAAACATATCTGGATAAACAGAAGCTAAGGGATTTTGCCAAAGCCAACCCAGCTATGAAAAACATCTTAAAGGAAGTTCTGTGGACTGAGAACCAACAAGAACAGACAACAACCACAAAATGAACGTACGTGGCAGCATCACCCTGAACCCAATTGACAAATGGAAGAGTCAAGAACAGAATAAAATGATAAGAACAGAGGATCTGGGAGGTCAGTCTATGATCAAAACAATTACAATGTGAAAGAAGGTAAACACAGGAACAGAGACCCAGGTGGTGGGAAGGTCAGGCAGATTACTGGATAAAATAGACTGTCTTAAATGGAGGCTAGAACTAATGGAATATAAAGGTAACCACAATGGGGTTGGGGTGGGTGTTTTAGTTTGGGTGTTGGGGAGGGCAATACAAGAAGGGTGGAGGAGGCAGAAGAACAAGATAGATAGGGGAACACTGAGACAGGTTTGCATGGCCTAGTGGGACAGAGGTAAATAGTGATGCGTACTCAACCTTGGAACAACAGGGCTCTGGGATACAGGAATCTAGGTATAGCTTGAAGAGGGAAAATAATACCAAAATCCTTGACTGCCTTATGAATATTAGTTTCCCTTACCTACTATTGTAAAATAGACACTTGAGTGGGAGAGAAAGGAATGTTGGGAAACATGATTAGAAAAAACTTGGAAGCCCATCTTCAGCCTACAACTGATTGGAATACCTAAAAGGGGTTCTACAACTTGACCAGTGACAAAGGCCTTGTGCAAAGCCTTTACGGAGTATAGGACCTTAGGTGGAATCCTGAGTCCCATCCAGTAGGACATTCCCACTAGAAAGGACAAGCAGACTGGAACAGCTACAGTGACAGAAGATACATGTTCAAAGAAGGATCATCAGGAAAAACCTAAAACAACGGAATGAAAACCACCCAGTCCTGCACCATCTTCACAATTGTTATGTTTGAGCCCATTGTTGCTGTCACTGTGTCAGTCCATTTGGTTGGAATTCTTTCACTTTACCAAGCATGATGTCCTTCTCCAGGGATTGATTCCTTTTAACAAGTCCAAAGAACAAGAGAAGAGGTCTTACCATGTTCACTTTCAAGGAGCATTCTGGCTATACTTGTTCCAACACAAATTTATTTGTTCTTCTGGCAGTCCATATACTTTCAATATTCTTAGCCAACACCATAACTTAAACGCATTGATTCTTTTACGGTCTTTTTTTTCGTTGTTCAATTTCCATATTAGTTTCTAGTTTTACATGTGGTCACTTGCCCTGTGATGAAACAATTAGGGCTGTATCCGTAGCACTTCTCGATGTATATGAGGCAATTGAAAATACCATGGCTTGGGTCAGATGCACTTTAGTCCTCAAAGTGACATCTTTGCTCTTTAACATTTAAAGAGGTCTTTTGCAGCAGATTTGCCTAATGCAATACGTTGTTGGATTTCTTAACTGCTGCTTCTTTGACCATTGATTGTGGATCCAAGCAAAATGAAGTCTGACAACTTCAGTCTTTTCTTCATTTATCATGATGTTATTTACTGGTCCAGTTGTGAGGATTTCTTTTTCTTTACATTGAGGTACAACCCATGCTAAAGGCTGTAGTCTTAGACCTTGATCAGTAAGTACTTAAAGTCCTCTTTGCTTTCAGCAAGCAAGGTTGTATCATCTGTATATTGCATGTTGTTGATGATTCTTCCTCCAATCCTGATGCCACATTCTTCTTCTTCTTCATATAACCCAGTTTCTTGGATTAGTTGCTCAGCATACAGATTGAAGACATATGATGAAAAGATACAACCCTGATATACGTGTAAATACATGTAAAGAGGTACTATATGGTCCAACCATTTCACTTCACAACTTTCCTGATTTTAAACCATTCAGTAGTGCCTTGTTCTGTTCAAACAACTGCCTCTTGGTCTATGTACAGGTTCCTCATGAGCACAACCAAGTGTTCTGGAGTACTCATTCTTTACAATGTTACCTATAGTTTGTTATGAGTCACATAGTCAAATGCCTTTGCCTGATCAATGAATCATAACTAAACATCTTTTTGATATTCTCTGCTTTAGCCAAGATCCATCTGACATCAGCAATAATATCCCTCATTCCACTTCCTCTTCTGATTCCAGCTTGAATTTCTAGCAGTACCCTGTTTGTGTACTGTTACAATCAATTTTAAATTATCTTCAGCAAAATTTTACTTTCATATGATATTCATGATATTGATTGTTGATTTCTGAATTCTTTTGGGTCATCTTTCTTTGAAATTAGCATAAATATGGATCTCTTACCATCAGTTGGGCCAGGTAACTAGCACACCCGCTAGGATAACTAGAAGTCTGACAGTTCCTTAAAATGTCAAATACAAGTATTGTTGTTGTTAAGTGTTGTCGAGTCGGTTCCGACCCATAGCGACCCTGTACAGGGTTTCCGAGGTGTAAATCTTTACGGGAGTAGGAAGCCTCATCTTTTTCCCGCGGAGTGGCTGGTAGTTTCGAACCGCTGACCTTAAGGTTCGCAGCCCGATTTGTAACCACTACGCTACCAGAGCTCCTTCAAATACAAGTATAGAGGTACTATATGGTCCAACAATTTCACTCCTAGAAATACGCCCAAAAGAACTGAAAATATATGCCTACACAAAAACTCGTATACACGTGTCTATAGCTATGTTACTCATAATAGCCAAAAGTGGAAGCAATTATTTATGTCCTTCAGAGAATGGATAAATAAAAATATGTTGTAGCCATACAATGGAATATTATTTGGCCTTATAACAAAATATAGTATTGATACATGAAGTTCTGGTGTGGCACTGTAGGATAAGCACTGGACTGCTAACCACAAGGTCAGTGATTCCAACTTATCTTGGAAACCCTATACAGAGTTACTATGAGTCCAAACCAACTCGACGACACTTAACAGCAACAACAATGTGGACAACTCTTGAAAATGATAAAATAAATGAAAGACGTCAAACATTAATGGCCACATATTGTATGATTCCATTGATATAAAATGTCCAGAAGAAGCAAATCCATTGGGACAGAGAATAAATTGTTATCAGGAGGAACATCATGCTTGGTAAAGTAGAAGGTCATCGAACAAGAGGAAGATCTTCAACCATGTGGATGGTCCCAGTGGTTATAACAATTGACTCAAACATAACAACAATTGTGAGGACGGCACTGGATTGGGCAGTGTTTGGCTCTGTTGGATGTGGGGTCACTATGAATTTCTTCCGACTGGAAGGCAACCAACAACAAGAACAACAACAAGGGCTGGGGAAAGGGCATGCGTGGTGGCTACTAATGGGTACACGGTTTCTTTTTGGAGTGATGAACATTGGACAGAATGAAGAAACCCCAGGGTGGAATGTAAACTGATACTGAGTTGGATAATGAAACATTTGAAGAGACAAGGAAGCTGGCTCATGTTAAGTGGTGAGGGGAGCACTAGATACCTCACAGGCTATTATGAGAACAGAAGGCCTTCGTCCATATAAGTTGACCGGCACAGCGTCCAGGTATTGCACATAGGTTAGGACTCCTGGTTTGGCTCTGTAGGGTAAGCACTGAACTGCTAAGGTCAGTGGTTCCAACCCACCAGCTCCTCCTTGAAAACCCTATATAGAGTCACTGAATTGTAAGCAACTCAACAGCACTTAACATCAACAACACACATACGTTAAAGAGCCCTGATAATGCCGTAGTTAAGATTGGCGGTTCAAACCCACTAACTGTGCCAGGGGAGAATGATGTGGCATTGTGCTTCTATGAAGATTTACAGCCTTGGGTACTCTATGGGACAATTCTGTTTTTGTTAGGTGGCACAGAATTGGTCCAGACAACAGAACAAAACACTGCCCCGTCCTGTACCATTCTCATAATTGTTGTTATGTTTGAGTCCAGTGTTGCAGCACTGTGTTAAGCCATATCACTGAGGGTCTTCCTCATTTTATGGGGTCACTAACCATTGGAATCATGTTGATGCCCATGAATTTTACACACCCATTATCCTCTAAGGCATGAAGACTGAGATCCCTGTGTGGAAATGGGATCCTGTTGTCATAGTCATTTAGTGTTGCTATAACAGAAATACCACAAGTGGATGGTTTTAACAAACACAAATTCCTTCTCTCATAGTTTAGGAGGCAAGGAACTCCTAATTCAGGGCACCAATTCCATGAGAAGTTTTTTCTCTCTATCAGCTCTGGTGTCAATCTTTACGGGAATAAAAAGTCTCATCTTTCTCTCGCAGAGCGGCTGGTAGTTTCGAACCGCTGACCTTAAGGTTTGCAGCCCGATTCGTAACCACTATGCTACCAGAGCACACCCTCGGAAACCCTGTACAGGGTCACTATGGGTCGGAACCGACTCGATGGCACTTAACAACAACAACAACAATCAGCTCTGAATGAGGGTCTTTGTCAACCAGCATCCCCTGGGTCTAGGAGCTTCACAGAGCAGGGCCACCAGGTCCAGAGGACGTGTTTCTCTCTTGGCTCTTCCTTCTTGTTGGTAGGAGGTCCCTCCTTCTACTTGAGTCGCTCTCCTTGAAAGATCTAAGGTGTTAAAGGCCACACCCCAGGGGCACTCTCATCAGGGCTGTGGCCTGATTAAGAGAGTTGCATCCTACCCTAATCCCCTCACAACTGAGGTACCCAGTACCACATCAGACCACATCCTGGGGGAGGATTCTATCACCACTTAATGCCAAACCACTGAGAATTATGGCCCAGCCAAGTTAATTCAACCCATGACACCTGTCCTAGAGCATATGTGTCCATGGCAATGGGGGAAAATTCCAGGCTTTTCAGTCCGGTCCCCAAAGCCCATCCTACCCCAACCTCCTTGTCATTGCAGAGATTGGTGTGGGCACCACTGGCTTCGGAATTTTCTTCATCCTCTTTGGAATATTGTTGTACTTTGATTCTGTGCTTCTGGCCTTTGGAAACGTGAGTTACCTCCCTCTTGCCCCCTACCCCTCACTTCCCGCCCTGTGTACCTCTCCTCCCACAACCTTTCTGAGATCTCCATTGTCAGGAAGGGTCAGCTCAATGTTCGTTCAGGTTGTGCCCATCAAGATGAGGGTGTGTGGGAGGGACAGCTTCCCCTGCCAAGCTCTCTGAGCGACAGACACCCCGGGTGGAGAGGGGATACCAGAACAAGAACCCCACTGTTTAAAAACAGAGATGTTAACATGTGAATACGTGACTGGGAAGGTGGGAAAGGACACAGGTAAGGTCAGAATAAGACAACCCCATTTAATATAAAAGCAAGTGCCTGGAGAGAAGAGAACATGCTTAAATGGAGTAGGATGAACAGGAATTTGGGGAGGAAACTAGGTATGAGTATGTGTAAAGTACATCCAAGTAGATGGAACAGCACAAAAGAAAAGGCACACTGAAGAGGGACAGCCTGGGACTAGCCAGAAGAAAGGCAGAGACTTAATTTGGTGAGAGCCTAGGCACTCTTAGGAAGCATTCGGAGCTGAGCTGAAGCCTATGATATAGGACCATATAGTGGAGGACTCGGAGTCCAGTCCTAAAGGTTAGTGGAGCCACTGAAGGGCCCATGTGACTTTGAGTATGGCTGTCTAATCTACTTAGGCCTCAATCTTCACCTCTGTAAAGTAGGGAGGGCCTCATCTATGAAGAGAGTCCTTGTGTGGTGCTGTAGGATAAAGCACAGGACCTCAAACCCACCAGCTGCTGGTGTGGCACTGTAGGATAAAGCACAGGTTAAAACCTATCAGTTGCTCCTCAGAAACCCCATATAGAGTCACTATGAGTCAGAATCAACTCGACAACTATGAAGAAGTAGTAGTATCCAAGGTGGGAAGTCAGAAACCTTCAAAGTTCATCTCCTTGTTCATCCCCCTACCTCTGGGCAGTTGTGCCCTAAACCAGCTCACACTATTCAGGGCTCTGGAATTTTGCCCTCCCCTAGACCTCATTTTCTGATATCACCTCTCCTTGAAGAATTAACAAGGGTCTAACTCAGGCCTGAGCCCCTGACTCTAAGGGGGATGGTGTGTTTACCCTTACGCATCTCTCCCTCCCCGACAGCTACTGTTCCTGATTGGCCTCTCCTTCATCATTGGCCTGAGGAAGACCTTCGCCTTCTTCTTCCAGCGGCACAAACTCAAGGGGACCAGCTTCTTCTTGGGGGGTGTGGTCATTGTGCTCCTGCGCTGGCCCCTCCTGGGCATGTTCCTAGAAACCTACGGATTCTTTAACCTCTTCAAGTGAGTCTGTATCCCTGGTAACCTAGAGAAGCCACCAAAGCCTCTGAGTAGCAGAGACCACCTGCAGACAGGTTTGGTTAGCCCAACCATCAGAAATTGGGACTTTATCCTGCAAGAGATGGAAAATGGTAGAAGGATTGAAAAGGGGGAGGAACATGAGACCGATGCTTTGGGAAGCCCACTTGGACAGTAGGTTGCAGGGTAAACTGGAGAATTACCCGATCAATCAGCAAACTCCTGCACTGACTCGTCTCCCCATCATATCTGGGTTCACTTGAGTGCCTCTTTAAAAACAGGAGTGCAGAACCAAACCTGCCCTCATACTCAAGTGGTAATGTCCTCTTTTATATATATATATATAATTAGGCACAGATACATTTTATTTACTTAAAATGTTTTTATTTTGTGGCCAATATAGATGTAACAACACATGTGACAATTGAACAGCGTTCCCATGGAAAGTTCAATGTCATTAATTGTGCTCATCAGGCTGTCCAACTACCATGCTTATTCATTCTCAAATTATGCTATCGCCCTAATGGGAGCTCAGTGTCCCCTAAACACCATGCCCTGCTTCCTGCATGCCCCTGCTAACCACTAATAAACTTTGTTCTCTGTGCACTTGCTTACGCTAGGTATCTCATATAAGTGAGGTGACACACTATCTGTTCTTATGATACTGACTTAGTTCACTAAGCACAATATTTTCAAGGTTAATCCATGTTGTAACATGTATCAGGACTTCATTTAAGCCTGAACTTGTTGGTGGCTCTCAGACTTGTCTACCCTCTTTCTTACCCTCATGGGCCATCACTGACCCCTCCCTCCATTTCTAGGAGTTTTTTCCCCGTGGCCTTTGGCTTCTTGGGCAATGCCTTCAACATCCCCTTCCTGAGTATGGTGAGTAGATGACTTTTGTGGCTGAGTGGTGGTGGCCTGGGGTTTGCCCACCTTCAGCAACTCTTCCATCTCTGACCTTCTTCATTTAGTGAGAGCAGATGGGGACATCTAGGGGCACTTATGTCTAATGGATGAGTATGGGCGGTAGTGAGTATGGGGCCTTAATAGTTCCCTGTTAAAAGGAAGAAACAGATTCTGAGACTGTAGGTGATCTAACCTAATGCCTGGGATTTCTGGGGAGCTGGGACCTGGACATGCAGGGCATCTGTCATGACTGCCAAGGATGGAAGGGAGAACAGGTGGCAGATTCTGTCTTCCCTTGGAGCAGGCCAGGGAGCAGTGGTGAAGCCCTTGCCCCTTCTCCTTCCTTTTTCTGAAGCACTTGACAGAATGTGAGTTCTCTGAGGAGTCTTGGGAGGCCCAGCAGACAATTCATTGATGGCTGCCAGCTGGGCCATCCCCCGCAGCCCCTGCATATCTGTGCCTGGCACTACTCGAAGCTCTCAAGGCCAACTCTGTAATAACCTAGATATTGAGTCTGCTCCCCATTCTTTGTCTGGGGTAATGATTCTTGGCTCCCACAGCTGTTCCGGAGGTTTCAAGGCACCAGCTCAATGGTCTGAACAGGAGAGATGAGCTCGTGGAACGTGGATCATTGGATGAGCAGGCTGGAAGGGAAGTGGGGGCCACCCCCTCAGGCCCCCGCCCTGCACTGACTCATCTCCCCATCATATCCGGACCCCCCTAAGTCCAGAAGGAAGGATGGAGCTGAGCGGCCTACCTCAAATCCCAGCTCAAGAGGCTGTTGGGGCTGTGGGCAGCACAGATCCGGGGTCCCACGGAGATCAGTTCAGGGCTGAATTCATGTCCCCATCCTGTATTTATGGAAAGAAAAACAAAGATTAAATAAATACTCCAGTTGTGTGTGTGTGTGTATGTTAGATTGGAAGTTGGTGTCTCCTGCCCATCACATCCATCCCATCTCAGGACAGGCCACACACATACTCTTCCAGTTAGAGAGGGTCAGCCCTACTGTCTCATGAAGCTGCACTTCTAGCCGTAGTACTGTGATAGTCCAGGTGAGTGAGAGTTTACCAGCACACCAGCAGTCAGCATCAGACCAGTGATCCATGGGTACTGAGCTCACATGCTATATAGGCTGTTGTTGCTTCCAGTGTTTCCTGTCAGACACCTGCCTTCAGAGAGTCCCAGTCTGACAACTGGCAGTCTCTAGCCTGGGGAGCCCCTATTGTTGTTGATGGGTCCCATCAAGTCAATTCTGACTCAACCACCTTTTGTGACAGTGTAGAACTGCCCCATAGGGTTTTCTAGGCTCCAATCTTTACGTTGTGGCACTGAAGGATAATCACTGGTCTGCTAATACAAGGTCAGTGGTTCAAATCCACCAGCCGCTCCTCAGTAACTCTAGAGAGGGTCACTATGAGTTGGATGAGTGGTACTTAAAAACAACACAGCAGTCTTTATGGGAGCAGATCTCCAGGTCTTTCTCCCACAGAGCCACTGGGTAGATTAGAACCTTTGACCTTGCAGTTGGCAGCTAAGTGCTTTACCGTTGTGCCACCAGCTTCTCGTTCTCCAAGAATAAAGAGAGTTCTGGCAAGCTCTAGAAAGAAACGTGGAGAGTCATCTGCAATGTACACATCTAGTATCTGTGGAGTGCCCTCTCTCTATGTGTGCACCAAGCAACCAAGTGGGAGCCAAAGAAACCCTTAAGGGGGGCCTTCCCCTGTCCTCAAAATGTTGCAAACACCCTATTACAGAACATAGTGCCCACTGGCACAGGTTGAGTCCCAGCAGAAGCATCTTCAGGAAGAGGGGAGAATACAGAAGAAGACCCCAAACTCCAATATTCCTACAGCTACCATTGATCCACAGCTTGACTCTTGTAAAGACTTGTTCTGTGACTCTTACTACAGCGTTTAGGGCTGGGCCTTGGTCTTATCCCAGTTTTGTCTTGCAAAGCCATGGACCAGTCTGAGCAGAGGAAGGCAGTCAGATGTGGAGAGTACTCCTGGTTTGGGAGGAAGTTTCTCATACCTTGTACCTGAACCAGGCCAAGTTTTGCTAATAGGTAACAGAGGCAGAGTTGGGCTCAAAGCTTTCCCACCAAAAGGTTTTCTTCAGCCCTTGTCCACTCCACTGCCATCATTCTGATGGAATCATGTCTATCTGAAACGATCTTACTAATACCTTCATCCATGGAACATTAGTTAAGTTACTACTACGAGTCCCTGGGTGGCATAAACAGTTCAAGTCCATCAAACAGCCTTGGTTAAATCAAAGAAGGGGGAAGGAAGGTCAACACTAAGGATGATGGGGTGGAGGCAGTTTAGGGTTGGAAAAGTTTAGAGTCACAGTGAAGACTGGGAATTCACAAGGTCATTGCTCTGAGAAGTAGCAACCAGCAGGACAGGACTCCACTGTGGAATAATCATGATTCATTTAGCATCTACTAAATATCCTGTGTGTGGCACCGTGGGTTAATGTGCTAGACTGCAAAGTAAGGTTGAACCACAAAATCAGTGGTTCAAGCTCACCAGCCACTCCTTGGAAACCCTATACAGAGTTGCTATGGGTTGGAGCTGACTCGATAGCACTTAACAAGAACAACAACAAATATCCTAGTGTGATGTTGTAGGATCAGCACTGGACTGAAAACCTCAAGATCAACAGTTCAAACTAACCAGCTGCTCCTCGCAAACCCTATATAGGGTTGCTATGAGTTGAGACCAAATCAACCCACACTTAATAACAACATGTGCTAGATTTCCCACTCCTCACTTACCAGCAATCTTCTTGTTAAGTGCTGTCGAGTCTGTTCCAACTCATAGCAATCTTGTATAGGGTTTCTGAGGAGCGACTGGTGAGTTTGAACCTCTAACCTTGCGGTTCAAACGAACATTAAGTCGAGTGCTTATCCTGTAGTACCACACCAGGACTCCTAAGAGGCTTCATTATCCCCATGTCAAAAAGGCCTCTAGGAGCTTAATCACTTGCCCAAGCCAACACAGTGAAGTAGGAAGCCAGTACTTATCTAGATTGGTCTCATTCTAGAGCCAAAACTCGGCCTACACAGGGAGAAAAGGGTAAGGCAGAGCCCAGGCCATCATGCATTCATGTATGTCCACTTACTTATTGTAGTGCAATAAGGAGCACCGTGGCTCTGAGGATGAGCACTAGACTGTGAACCACAAGGTCAGTGGTTCAAGCCCACTTGGGAGAAAGACGGACTTTCTACTCCTGCAAAGATTTACAGCCTCAGAATCCTTATACAGGTTGCAATGGCACTTAAAAGCAACAACATTGTGATGCAAAGAGCTAACATGCCAAATTGCTGTCCAGAAGGCTGACCGTTCAAGTCCACCCAGAGGTACCTCAGAAGAAAGACCTGATAATCTACTTCCCAAAACTCAGCCCCTGAAAATCCTATGGGACACTGTTCTACTCTGACACATGTGGGTCTCATCGTGGGCTGAGTGTCGTGGGAAAGATGCAAGGCAGGGCATGTCCTGCTGTGGTTCTAACCCTGTCTGCACACTGGAATACCTGGAGAGCTTTAAAACAGACTGATGTGTGAGCCCCATCCCACACCATCTGGATTCAGCCTGGGCATCTGTCACTGTTAAAACTCCAGAGGTGTTTCTCAATAGGCAGTCTGGTTTGATAACAGAGATGGTAGAGCAGGCCAACTTGGGAATACGTCCAGGCTCTACCACTCACTAACGGTGGTGGTGTTCCGAGTCTCAGTTTCCTGTAGAGAAAGTGGAGATACTACTACTCTAAAGAGTAGTTTTGAGAATTTGGCGAGATTAATTACGTACAAAACTTACCTTAGCATGGTAACTGGCTTGTAGTGCGGCCAATAATGGCAATATGGTGTTGGTAAGTGATAGTCAATTTATCTGAGATAAAGGAGGATCAGGGATGTTGCGACTTCCTTGTGGGCCCCCCGCCCCCACCTCAGAGAAGGCCCAGCAGGGTCCTTGGGACCTTTTTCTGGCCCTCAGTCAGCCTTCAGTCTGAGGATGGACAAAGGATGCTCAGGAAGCAATTTTGGCAGAAACTGCTCCTCAGGAGGACAAAGGAGATGGCAGGCGCTGTGGAAGGCAGATTCACAGTTCCAACCTTTTAGTAGTTCCATGGAAGAAAGGCCTGGCAATCTGTTCGGTAACAATCACAGAAACCAACAAACCCTACAGAGCAGTTCTACTCTGCAATGCCGTGAGGTGGAATTGATTTGACAGCAATAGTGTTTTGTTTTATTTCTTGCTTTGCTTTTTGTAGAGGGGTAGAGAGCGGTAGACAGGAACAAGAAAGTGAAGTCCCAATTCATCACCCAAGAAGTATTGATTGTGTTCAGTGTTACCATCCACTAAGCCTGAGCTCTACGCTAATGCAAGAGGCAGCCATCCGCCCACCATCCCTTCTTCAAACCACTGGACCGCCTGCCCCAGGGAAGCCTTTAGCCCAAGGCCCAGGCAGGAGAAACTTCCACCCAAGAAGTGGTTAGGCCACAGAGGGCATACAAGTCTAAGGAGAGGAATAGCCAGAGGAGGAGACAGGGTCAGGCCTGTGCTGGGAGGGGACTCTAGCTATCATCTTCATTTATTAAACTTCCAGGTCTTAATAATTAAGGTCACTCTGCCAGAAGTTGGCAGGGCTGGGATTCACACTCAGGTCTTTGTGACGCGGTCATCGACAGCCATCCGAAGAGAGAAAGCAAGCCACTGGACACAGTCTGGTGCCCACAATGAAGTAGACCAACCACCTTGATGTCTGTCTGTCCATCTGACTGTGCCATTTTCCTCTGACAACCCTTTATGAGCAAATGCCCTGTGATTGAGGAAAGAAGGGAAGAAAAAAGGAAGGGGAAAGGGCTGAAATCTATCCCACTCACGCAGTCACAGGGGACACCTCAGGTCTTAGACCCAAGATAACCTGTCTTTCTCCCAGAACTGAGCATGTGAGGACAAGGCATGCCCTCCCTCTTCTTAAACCTGATGGTGTTAGTGGCTCTTGCCCAGAGGGAGAGAAGAAAGACACTTCACACTGAGCCCCCACCCCCCACCATTCCTCCTCAAACAATCCATCCCCACCTTGTCTGGGGCAGAATGGGTCTCCAGCAAGTGGGTATGCAGGAAAGGGAGTGATAGCTAAAGAGAATGATAAAAGCCAGCCTTGGAAGGCATCTAGAGGGGGTGGCAGAGGCTGATTTCAGTCATACGATCCAGGAGGAGGCGTCAGGCAGTAGCCAGGGCGCTGTGTTCTCTGAGGAGGGTCTGACAAGGGTCTGACGAGGAGGGAGAGGAGGAGGGAGAGTCAGGCAGAAGTGGCCTGTGCCTGGAGGCGTCACCCTGGGCTTTATAAAAGGGGAGGTGATGGGAAGCTGGCGAATGTGAGCCCAGGAGCCCAGCTCCCCTCGCTTCCAGGTGATCACCAGCCCAAGAAGAGACCCCACCTAGTTCCCACCCGGCCAGGACTGAGCCCAGGTAGGTCTACAGCAGCAGCCACACCTGGGGAGGGTCCAGCCTTCCACCTGGGGAGACTCCAGGGGAGGGAGAGGGAAATCAGTTCTAAACTGACAAGCTGATGGGGGGTAGGGGTGGGGAGGGCTCTTGATTTTTCCTGATTATTGGTTAGCCAGATTACGCTGGGACGTCTAGCCAAATAATTGATTTGCACTTTATTATTTGTAAACTAGGGTGTCCCAAGGATTCTATCTTACTGTGGTGGGAGTAAATGCAATGGATGAATTCTCTCTGACTGTGATCAGAAGCCATAGAGTGCTTGCAGAAAACTGAGGAATCCCTTGGGATACATGGCCCAGGAATGGGACACCTCTGTGCAGTTCCCCCAAATTACAGGTGGCAAATACAATCTCAACCAAAAGGCACCTTACTCACCCACCCTGTTAGCCCCCAGCACTAGAAAGGGGTTGAGGTGTCACCCAATGAAGAAAGACACCCCTCTACAAAAGCTGGAATTTCTGTTATTCATTCGGTACTAAAACCCTGGGGTAGAGGAAACCACAAATAAGAGTCCACAGCCAGCCAGTCATGTGGGATCCTTGGAAAGGAGACAGAACTTTTCCAGACTGTTCTTTTCCACCTCATATGGTCAGCGCCACCTGTGGACCAGGCAGAGAATTAAGGCTTGGAAGATTTGTGATGGAAAGAGGTTGGCCCCCGAGTTCTGGAAGCCCTCAGTTGTATCTGCACACATGTGTGTTTGTGTTTGTGTGTGTACACGTGGTAAGGACAGGCAGTGGAGGAAAAGCAGAACTCTCACTTGGTGTGCATGGTACCCCTATCCCTGACGGGTAGGACGCAGACAGAGATGAAGGGGAGAATGGAGTAAGGGACATTGCCTGATTGCCTGACTCCCCTCAGCCCCTGACACCCTCCCCATCCTCACTCACTATGCTCTTCTAAAAATGGGCACACTTATTCCTCACAGATGTCTGGATGTGGCCACTAAATGCCTTTTGGACAGCGCCAGGCTCTACTGTCCTGCTCTCCTCCCCACACTGCTGGCCCACCCAGCTCTCCAGCACCATTGCTTTGTTGGAAATGCTTTTGTTCTCATGTACCTTTATTCATCTGGCCAGGTGCAGTGGTTAAAGCTCTCAGCTGCTACCTATAACATTGGCAGTTGGAACTCATCAGCTGCTCCTCAGGAGAAAAATGTGGCAACCTGCATCTGTAAGGATCCCAACCTAGGAAACCCTATGGGGCAGTTCTACTTTGTGCTATCACCGTCAGGTCACTATGAGTCAGAATCTACTGGTGGGTATATTCCTCTGGCTCAAGAGAAGATGGGAGGAGGGTTGTGCCTTTTGCAGAAACACTGCCTGGACTCTCTAGGCTGGGCTCTCGTGGGCTCCTGCGGCCTCTAGAGTTATCATTTATGGTGTTATGTTGAGATGATCTGTTCATGAGTCAATGACTCAAGCTAGACGGTGGTCTCTGGGGGCAGCAACCCTATGTCTTTGTACACCTGTCACTCTTAGTACTTTGTCAGTGCTCAGGAGTGATTTCGGAGCTAACCTGGTCCCCACATATCCATGTTCTGAAACAATAATGAGGTGGTTTATACTGTCTTCTCTAGTGGACTAACCAGGAGTCCCTGGGTGGTGCAAACGATTAAGTACTCGGCTACTAGTGGAAAAGTGGTCAGTTTGAACGTAACCAAGGTACCTCAGAAAAGGGGCCTGGTGATGAGCTTCAGAAAGGTCCCAGCCTTGAAAACTCTGGAGCACTTCTAGCTGCACACACGGGAGTGCTATGAGTAGAAATCACCATGGACTCAACGGCAACTAAATGCAATGAATGACTCCTCCCTCTACCCCCTTCCCACCCAGGCCTTACGGTGTCACACAATCTAAGCCTGTGAGATACAAAACCATCTGAGGGAGCAGCTGGTGTCCAGTCTGATCTAATGATCCTATTTGACAAATGGAAAAGGAAGCCATTGATGGAGGGTGACTGGCTCATGCCTCACAGGGAGTGAGGACAGAGCTGGGACCAGATTTAAGTGCTCCTCATTCCATTTCAGGATTCTTGCTCTGATGTGGTACTATAGGATAAGCCCTGGACAACAAGGCCAGCAGTTCAAACCTACCCAATGCTCTTAGAAACCCAATACAGCATCAACTCGAGGAGTACACAACTTTCTATCTCAGGCCTGCATCTGGGGGTAGCAGGTTGGGGAATGGGAGGTGAGGGAAAGAACAGAGGGGTGCAGGGGCTGGGCAACCATTAGCAGTGAATGGGCAAAAATGATGAAACCATTAGTTGTTGCAAAACAGTTAACATGCTTGACTGCTAACTGAAAAGTCAGATGTTCAAGCCTGCCCAGAGATGCCTTGGAGGACAGATCTGGTGACTACTTCTGAAAAAAAATTAGTCATAGAAAACCCTGGAGCACAGTTCTCCTCTGACACACTTAGGGTCACCATGAGTCTGAACCAACTCCACTATGGCACGCTGTGGGTTTGCAAATGGACTTCTAACCACAAGCCCACCAGGCGCTCTGTGGGAGAAAGGCTGCCCACTCCCATAAAGATTTACAGCCTCTGAAACCTTACATAGGATGATTATGAGTCAAAATGGACTCGATGGCAATGGGTAAGTTTCTGTTTTTCTCCTTCTTAGCCTCACTTCCTGAGGATGTCCTCCCTCGAAGATCCTCATGGGTGACTGGTATCAATTCAACTTTGCATACTCAGTCACATCTCCATGCCATGTTCTTTCAGACTCGCCCTCCACTAGGAACCCCCAAGGACAGGGGCTCTCTCCTTCCTTGTTAGTCCAAACAGCTCCCAACACCCAGCGCAGACCCCAAGCCTGACTCAGTTCTTCCTTCCTCCCTGTCTCCTCCGCAGGGCACTCCTAGGACTTGTCTTTTCTCACCAGGATGAACTCATTTGTTTCTTGGCAGTTAATGCTTTATCTCTGTGCCACCTCTTTTGGGGAGACATCAGAAAGAGTGGTTTCTCCTGAGGATCGTCAAACCTCAGGTATGGTCTGGGAAAGAGAGGGGGAGTGTTGAAAATGAGATTTGACATAATGCTCAGATTACAGCTTGCCTGTTGATAATGCATTGAACACTGCACGTAACAGAAACCTAAGACTGGCATATTATCAACTCTTAACCCTGCCAGTTAAGGATGCTTTGCCACTATTATGGGCATCAGGAAGGAGAAGGCGCAGTGGTACAAGTTAAGTACTCAACTGCTAACAGAAAGGTTGGAAGTTCAAACCCACTCAATGCTCCTAGGGAAAAAGACCTGGAGATATGTTTTCATACAAAATTACAGTTCTATTCTGTCACATGGAGTCACTGTGTGTCCGAATGGACTCCATGGAACCCAGCAATAACAAGAATGGACATCAGGAAGAAACTTACCCAAAGTCACTCAAACACTGCAGAAGCCCAGCAGGGGCCAGAGCTCCCCAAAGGGTACCTGCTGAGTGGCATGAATCAGGACTCCTGGGTTTTAGGTCTGCTTGTTTGTCCTTCTTTCTCATTCAGGAGTCCCATTAACCCTGGCAGCTCTCTAAACAAACTAGAACTTGTGGCTTAGCCTTTATCTATAGAAGAACATACTCTCCATACTACTGATGTTATTGGACATGCCTATGACAACATATGAAAATAATGGTCCTGAGTGTCCTTTTCCAAAAGTATCTTCTCTCCTGGGCTCAAGTGTTCATTCTAGGTGAGGGTATCACTTGCAGGGATATTGATTCTTTGACTCTTTTTGACAAACAGGTTTAGGTAAGGCCTGAGCAGTGATCCTCTTGCAGGATAGTGAACTTATTTGGGAAGGCTGCCTTCCTCCCCATTCCAACATTGCCCTAAGGTGGGACAGGCCTCCCAGGTAGCTTTTCAATACTCTGGAACACACATACACTCCTGTTCTCCAAAGTGTGCAGGGCACTGAGGAGCAGGGCTCAATGGCAACCCCCACCCCACCACATCCCCATCACACTGACATACCAAGCCTCATTTCCACTTATCTCTTACCACAATTGATTGGGACTATTGTCTACCAAGAGCGAGTCGTACTATTTTACTGCCAAAAATTATAGTAAACTCAATGGGCCATGCATGTGAAGTGCCCTCCAAATTAGCCTCATAAACGCTCAGTATGAAGGGGAGATATTATACCAGGAATGAGGGAGGTGATCCAGATTAGTCTATTTTTCACTAAGTCCTTCTATTGTTTATTCAAAGACCAAAACCATGGCCATCAAGTCATTCTGATTCACAAAGACCGTGTGGGACAAAATAGAAACCCTATAGCATTTCCTGGAATCCTGGTGTGGTGCTGCAGGTAATGCGCTGGACGGCAAGGTCGGTGTGAACCACAAGGTCAGTGGTTCAAGCTCACCAGCTGCTCCTTGAAAACCCCATACAGGGTCACTATGAGTCAGAACTGACTCAACGGCACTTAACAACAACAACAACAACAGGGTTTCTAAGACTGTCATCTTTACAGAAGCAGACTGCCACACCTTTCTCTCATGGAACAGCTGGTGGGTTTGAACCGCAGACCTTTCGGTTAACAGCCTAGCACTTTTTCCATTGTGCCACCAAGGATCCTTAATCTTATTGCTGTTGTTGTTAAGTACCGTCGAGTTGGTTCTGACTCATAGCACCCCAGCTCTGACTCATAGCAACCTATGATTTCCGAGGAGTGGCTGGTGGGTTTGAACTACCAACCTTATGGTTAGCAGTCCAGTGCATAGCCTATGACACTACAATTAATGTTATCAAAAGACCAGAGTTGGATCACAGGTAGCTGCGGAGCACGAGGTATTTAATTTGCTCCACTTTGATTTGTTACTGCAAGTTTGCTCTGACTCATGGTGACCCTGTATAAGGTTTCCCAGAATTTGCTGGTGGGTTTGAACCAAATGGCTGATTTTTCATAAATAAATCACCAGGTCTTTCTTCTGAAGTTTCTCTGGGTGAACCAGGTTAATCTGAGTGGATTAACAATTTGCCTTACCCAGGGACTCCAGTGAGCCAAGACAAGGAGCAAGTACTTTAGCAGGGCTATAGGATCAGTCACAATTCAAACCTCCCAGTTGCTCCTTGGAAACCCTATGGTCGTTATGAGTCAGAACTGACTCCACGGCACTTAAAAACAACAACAAGGATTCTACAGTAAACCCTGCCTGCCTTCTAAAATAAAGTCATTTCATGTAGAAGCTATTTAATATAGCTGGTAAACATGTAAAATCAGTCACGGTGAAGGAAGCGGTATCAGTTGGTTAACATTTAAACTAGGAGGGTGCTGCTGCTTCTGCAGGTACCCACCTTCAACTCCCTACCAGTTCAGGAATAAAACTACAGCATAGAATGGGGATACAAGTTGTTGTTGTGTACCATGGAGTCTGTTCCTACTCATAGCGACCCTGTCAGGGTTTTCGAGGCTGTAAATCTTGACGGGAGCAGAAAGCCTCATCTTTCTCCCGCAGAACAGCTGCTAGTTTCGAACTGCTGACCTTGAGGTTCGCAGCCCGATTCGTGATAACTACGCTACCAGAGCTCCTTTGGGATACGAGTAGGTGTTCCGAATTGATCTATCTAGGCCCTTGAACTCATATGTCGTAGCCTCACCGCAGCCTCTCTCTGTGGCTCTTTTGTCCTAGGCCCTGGACTTGGATACCTGGCCCTCCTGGCCCCCTGGGAACAGCGGTGCCAAGAGAAGACCACAGCTACCAGGGGGCCAAGAACTCGGGACGCCTCACTGTGTCCGCCCCCTGAGGGCCCTGCAGCACCCCAGCGGTCAGGCCTGTGCACCCCCCGCAACCGCCTGATCCCCTCGCCCCGGGGCGCGGTGCTGGTGCAGCGGGAGAAGGACCTGTCTGCCTACAACTGGAACTCCTTCGGCCTGCGCTATGGCAAGCGGCAGTTGGCGACGCCGGGAGGGCGAGGGCGAGGCGCAGGGAGGGCCTGAGGGTGGAGGACCCCAGCAAGGAACTTCAACCCGGGACCCAGGACCCCCAAAAGCGGGGCTGGTGCTGAGGGTAGGCCATCTGGTATCTCTGTCCTGAGGCAATAAAGGAAATGCTGCCAACTCACTTGCGTGTGATTTGTAGCTAAATTTTGCATACAGCGCTGATGAAATTGCACCCCTTCTATTTTCCACTGGATCTTTAGTTGGTTTTAAGATGACTGTTTCTGAAGTTATATGTTGTTGTTAAGTGCCGTCAAGTTGGTTCTTAACTCGTAGCGATACTGCATAGGGTTTCCAACAAGTGGCTGGTGGGTTTGAACTACCGACCTTACAGTTAGCTGTGTAGTCCTATCCTACAGGGACACACCAGGCAGGACGTTATGTGAGGGGGGATTCAAAATGTTGTGGAAGAATGGAATGAAAATATAATGGAATTTCTCAATGAACTTTTTGAAGCCTTCTCATATTGTACTGAAGGAACAGTTTATTTCCAATCTGTTGTAGATTAATATTCTTAAAACACACGCCAAACAGCAATAAAAATGAAACACTAAAGGGGGTTATTATTGAGGACTGCTAACAAACCATTCCATGTTGGAAGAAGTACAGCTCCTTAAAGTCCAGGATGGTCAGTCAGACATTATCAGTAGGGACCAGTCACTGGAGAAGGACATCGTGCTTGGTAGAGTGGAGGGTCAATGAAAAATAAGAAGATCCCTATCAAGATGGATTGACACAGTGGCCTCAGCAATTGTGAGGATGGCGCAAGAGCCGGCATCATGGGGTCCACAGGACTTGGAGCTGACTGACAGCACCTAACAATAACAACAATCACGTGGAAGGGGAGTCTTGGGTGATACCACAGTATAAGCACTGTACCACAAGGTCAGCAGTTCAAACCCACCAGCCTACCCTCAGAAACTATACAGGGCTTCTAGAAGTTCTGGTAGTGTAGTTGGACTGCTAACCTTAAGGTCAGTAGTTCAAATCTACCAGTCATACCACAGGAGGAAGATACGGCTTTTTGCTACCATAAAGATTTTACAGCGTGGGCACACAACCACCACCACCTTGGTGTGAAATCCTGGTGTGGTGCTGTAGGATAAGCACTGAACTGTTAACTGCAAGATCAGTGGTTCAAGCCCACCAGACTCTCCTCAGAAAACACATATAGTGTAACCATGAGTCAGAACCCATTTGATAGCACTTAACAACACCAATGGTATGGATAGGCACTAAACTGCTAATTGCAAGGTCAGCAGTTCAAATCCACCAGCCACTCCTTGGAAACCCTATGCAGGGTCACTATTAGTCAGAACCAACTTGACAGTGCTTAACAACAACATGGTGTGGTGTTGTAGAATAAGCACAGGACTGTTAAGTAAAAGGTGGGGGGTTCAAATCCCCCAACAGCTCTTCTGAAATCTGATAAAGGGTTGCTATGATTTGCAACTGACTCAATGGCACTTAACAATAACAACGTTTCTCAGGAAGGAACCTGGTATCTCAGTGGTTAAGCACAGCCCTGATGCTAGCAGAAAAGGTCAGCAGTTTGAACTAACCAGCACTGAGCAGGATAGAGATGTAGCAATCACTGAAATAAATATTACAGCCTCAGAAACCTTGTGGGTCACTATAAGTCTGAATCAACTTGCTGGTAGTGAGTTTGGATTCGGTTACAGAGTTTTGCTGTTGTTTTAAGTGCCATTGAGTTGGTTCTGACTCATAGCAACTCTACATAGGGTTTCCAAGAACACATGCATGATAGACTGTGGATCTAGTATAGAAGAGAAAACCGAACAGCATGATGAATTGGAAGAAAGCAGAGAGGATGGCAGTCAGATGAGAAGAGAGATTAGTGGTGGGGGAGTTCCATAGAGCTGGGTGGAAAGAGAGTGACGCATGTAGGAGGTTTGAGATCTTTTCTTTGGAGGTACAGCAGTTACACATGACAGTGAGGCCCCCAGGAGACGTGGGAATGGGTGGCTGGAGTGACATGAAATGGGGCACTCAAGGGACTGAAAGGCCAGCATGCTGGTCAGGTCAGCATCCACAGGAACGGTGATGCCGTCTAAAATGATGCAAAGGACTTGGGGTAGAGGAAGTCCATAAGCCAAGAACCAGAGTCCATGATATATCACAGGGCTGGATCAGGAAGCCCAGTAGTGAGCAGCGAGTGAGTGAGTGACTGAGTGGGGACAGAAGGTCTAAGGGGAAAAGACCTGAGCCTGAAAGGAGGAGGCCTTCTGATAGATGAGTGGATCTCACCTAGGACACAGGAAGAAATCAAGGCTGGCAGGTCAAGGAAGCACTAGGGTTTGGCAGAATGGGAACTGGACTCTTTGTTCCAGCATAAACTGTCTTATTCCTGGCAACAGCTGCCAAGGTGGCATGAATCCTGCCCCAGAGTCTCACTTCTCCCAACTTGAGGTCCCTGCTAGAGGTCAATTAGCTATGCCTCAGAAAAGAATGTGGTCTCTTTTCCTACCAACAAGTCCTAACAAAATTGTCCACCTACCCCTTCTCCCTCTTCCTCTCTCCCTACACCCTAGAGCAGAGGAAGGAAGCAAGAATCAGGAAGACAGACAAACTGGCAGCCCTGTGGGGAGACCAGGCCAACCTTATGAGCAACACTAGTCTCTGTTAATTGAGCACCTACAATGTGCTATCACGTACTTTGAATATTCGTGTACTTGATTCTTTTGGCAGCCTACAAAGTGGGCACTCTGTCCCCACTGATCAGATGAGGAGGTCAAGACTGCAAAGAACTTAAGAAAGGATGAGCTGAAAGCTCCATCCTGCGGTTCCTGGGCCCTTTTCTATGGCTGCCAGCATCAGAGAGGACTGGCAACCAGTGGGATTCTAAAGAGAGGAGTGCTGAGCTATGGCTGGGCTGTAAGGAGGTGCCAACACCATGGAGATTTGAGTGTAGGAGGGTGTGTTTTTTAAAGCCCCACACCTAGAGGCACTTGAGACACACAGCCCAGTGCAGCAAGGCCCCCACGCATATCTTGTGTCAAATTCAGATCTCACATGGCAAAGGCACGGCCAGAGGGTCCAGAAAGAAGAACTTGAAACCTTTGAGCAACTGTCAGATCTAGAATCCAGTGGACCCAGGCACGCTCCAACCCCAAAAGTCCTTACTGCCCCCATCTACTCCTTCTTCCTGCCAACCTATGTGGCCCATCTACTTGTCAGCCCTGGCACTAGCAGTGCAGGTAAATGTGAATATAAGTGTGATGTTGACTTGGTGAATGCTTTGTATTATATGAGGAAGTTTCAAAAGGTTCATGGAACAGTTCCAGTATTTTCAAATTCCTTTTTTCCACAAGCATTTTGAAACCCCCACATATATGTAATATATACATATACATTGCAGTCCTGGTATGGCTGCAAGATAAGCACTGGACTGCTAACTGCAAGGACGGCAGTTCAAACCTAATAGCTGCTCCTAGGAAACCCTATATAGGGTCACTATAAGTCACAATTGACTCTATGGCAGTTAACAACAGCAACATAAGTATGTTACAAAGCATTTGCCAATATATTTGTATACATATATATTTTCTTGAAAAATAAAAAAAGTTCCCTTACCATTGACTCCAACTCATGGTAACTCCATGTGTGTCAGAGTAGAAAATGGACTCTATAGGGTTGGGTTTTCAGTGATTTTCAAAAGTAGATCACAATGCCTTTCTTCTGAGATGCCGCCGGGTGAGCATGAACCTTCAACCTTTTAGCTAGCACCACTCAGGAATTCCTTGCTTATATTTGGTTGTGGTGGTTATATGCCGTGGAGTCGGTTCCCACTCATAGCGACCCTGTAGAGGGTTTCTAAGGCTGTAAATCTTTATGGGAGCAGAAAGCCTCATCTTTCTCCCACAGAACAGCTGGTAGTTTCAAACTGCTGACCTTAGGTTCACAACCTGATTCGTAACCACTACGCTACCAGAGTTCCTTTTCCTTATATTTACCACATTTAAAAAAAAAGGGAGGGTGGCAAAAAGAGTGTGATAATCTCCCCTACCTGTTCCTAAGGTGCCCTCAGACCAACTGGTAACAATCACTTGTCTAATTCACATGTAGGTTGCAGTCGCATTGCAGACAGGGTCTCTTGTTGCACCTGATCCCTGCTCCTGTGGACCTGAGACCCTGAGTCCAGAAGATGGACACACACCCAAGCTGCACTGTTGGTGGTCTGGAAGCAGAATGAACAAGGATCCTCAAACTAAGTCCTGAAAGTTCCATCAAAGGCCCTGGGGAAGCTTGGCTGGAAGAGAGAGGCCACAGGGACTATCCTAACTTGTGGTGACTTTGCAAAAGAGGCAGCCCCAGAGTGCAGAACTGAGGTCAGTGAGGAGTGACAGAGAGAAACTTGTGGCTCTAGTCCCATTCCCCAGAAGAACAGTCTGCCTAGCCAGGTGAGGTATCAGCTTCCTACCCTGGGACAGTGGCTTCCCCTGGTGACAAGAGAGCCCACTGACTCTTAGGGCCCTTCCAGTGTTTTAGGATCCTGTGTGTCGTGACTCCCTGCCAGGTGGCCTGTCCTGTTACCCTACCATTTCCGGTGTGAGAGTAGGAATAACCCAGAAGGGGAGGTTGGACCAACCTGAGAGTCTCTCCTGTCTGGAAGTGGGCCTTCAGGTACAGGCTGTGCTGGGAGGAAGAAAGGGGAGGAGAGTGAGAAGTGACCCTTACCAGGTCATCTCCCAAGCCCCTCTGTCCAGGGTCCAGTTTTTCTCAGAGAGTTTCCTCAGAGTCCCACATCCAGGTCTCAGGCTGCGTCACCTCAGACGTCGTCGAGGGAAGTGGTGAGGGTGAGGGCAGCTCTGGGGACGTGAGAACCAGCCAGAAGATACATAAATCCAGTCCCAGTCAGCCCTTGCTCTCTTTAGTTTCCACTGCTGGGTGTGAAGAGGGTGTGGGGGCTGGACAGGGTAGATCAGGGATTTTTTCAAGAGACTAATGGTGCTCAGGGTTTCTCTACAAATGGCCCCAAC